AGCTTTCTTTTGTTTGTTGGTTGGTTGTTTAACGCCACACGCAATATTCCAGCAATATGACGGTGGTCTGCATGTAAGAAGTCGAGTCTGGACCACACAATCCAGTGATTGACAACATGAGCATCGATCCACGCAATTGGGATCGGTGACATGCATCAACGAAAGGAAGGGAGCCTGACCACCCGATCCCGTTAGTCGCCTTTTACGGCAAGCATGGGTTGCTGAAGACCGCATCTTCATGGGCCAGTAATTTAAGTAATTAGATCTACACACAATACTTCAAGATAATCGATTTCTGAATGACAAAATGTTTTCAGTGTAAATGTGATTTGTTATGTTTCTGATGTTTTAAATAGATTCCATATATGGATTGTTTCACTGTGCATTATCTCAATTATCAAATACCTCGATCAGTCACATACACTCTTCAAAAAGAAAAGAAAAGCACAGGTAGTATGTAGTCCACTGAACCTGACTACACACACAATCCGGTATATAAAGCAGAGACTCAGCGCTTAGCGCCGATTGGAACATCGCCATTGGACGTATCCAAAGAGGGGAATCGTAGTCTTCTGTTGCACGCCACTTCAACGTTCAACACAGCACCATTTGCCGCCTTTGTGACCGAAAGACACAGTTCAATTCCACTGCAAACCGTCCGACCAAGAGTTACCACCCCTGCACAGGATCGCTACATTCAACTGTTCCATCGCAATGCCACAGCTACGGAGACGGCAGGACGCATTCCTGGTTTGAGGAGGATATCTGGGCTGGAATCCGACCCAGAAGTCCAGTTATCGGCCCTGTTTTGCAACCGATCCATCGACAGCGACGCTTGCGTTGGTGCCATACCTTACAGCCTAGGACTATGAGAAAATGGAGACTAGTGTGGCTTAGCGATGAATCACGATTTCTTCTTCATCGGCGAGATGGCAGACAACGTGTTTATCGTCGTCGAAATGAGCGTTTTGGGTGGCGGTAAACAATTTAGGTGGCGGTAGTGACATGGTGTGAGGGGCCATATCTTTCACCAGGAGATCTGACTTGGTTGTGGTTCAGAGAAATTTGACAGCAAATCGCTACATGAATCAAATTCTTCAACCTCACTTTCTTCCAATCACTGACCACTAGATGGAGCTATTTCAACAGGACAACGCTCCAGCGCACACAGGTCGTGTCACGTTAGACTACCTTCATAATGCCAACATCAACAGCAGACACTCCATCAACTGGCCAACGCGTTACAAGCAGAATGGCGTAGAATGTCGCAGGACAGAATTCGTACACTCATCAGTCAGTGCCGAGGAGATGCAGAGCCGTGATTGCTGCCCGGGGCTTTCACACAAGATACTGACTTCAGCGCAACCTTGTGGCCCCTATGTGATATGACAATGAACTGCTTTCAATGCCTTTATACAACAACAACATGTGACTAACGAGTTTCAAAATTTCATACTTTTATCTTTGATATTAAATTAAATATATCGATTTTATTAGGTACAATAAATTAACTTACAATCTACCTGTGCGTTTCTTTTTTAGAAGAGTGTATGTTATATATACTTTTCTTGTATGTTCACTTTAATTTATCTCCAAAACTCAAATAAAAGCGACAGAAAAACATATTTATAATCATAAGAAATCTGTGCCAAAATCAGAGTCCATTGTACGAATCCGACTATATCATGACCATGTGCCAAGAGCATGTATTAATGTAAGGGTAACGCTATTTTTCAGGGCATTATCATTTGCAGAAGGCCGAGGTCTTCCATTAGTGGCCGAATAAAAAGTAACAAAAATATCGGTTTTTGAAACATTTACTGCAATCAACACGAATGTCACTGACCCACTTTACATATATGGAAACGTCATTGAACAACCCAGATGACGTCACTGTTGAACGTGACGTTACTTTCCTTATAGTTAATGGAAGACCTCTGGCTTCTGCAAATGATAATGCCCTGAAAAATAGCGTTACCCTTATACTATCCTCTGACATCACCTAACAACGGGTGTGATAATGACCCGTCGTCAAGCAATATGAGGGCATTATCAAGTTACAGTGGCCCGCTGATTTCTGATAACATGCGGGCGGTTTAATGATAATTCTATCGATTTTAGCTATAATATCATATAGTGATGATACCAGGTGTTCGCGAAAAAGGAACCATCCTGTCCCATTATGAGCACCCGTCACAAACATATGCAAACTTTACTTCAAAAAGTGATATACTTGCTACTTTGTCTTACTTAAACCTCATCGTTGCAAATGTTTGTTTGATTGTAATCCGTTAGCAATATTCCACCTCCTATCACACCTGCGTGAAATTATTCGCCTCTGGACCAGACAAATCAGATTGAAAGTATAACCACAAGCATTTCAATCTTGTGCCCTTTGATCATATCATTACATGTACCAAAAGAATTGCAATTGGATTATAAAGCAACAAAACCCTTTCATAATCATCAGATACGATTCCGACTATATCATGAGCACGATTAACAATGTGAGAATATCCTGCCCCACTGCTGACAACCGTAACCCATGCAAAAGCACACCAATTGTTCACCAAGTAATGACATTTTCCTTGCGTTCATTGAAATTCCCGCATTCTGATTAGCTGAATTGGTCACGTGTTATTGCATTCATTTCCCAATGAATATAAAAAATTAAGCCACGCCCACGGAAGCGGACTACTTTTATTATTACGGAATGTCTCGCTTCTTTTTGTCCCGCTCGCCTCGGTTCCACAACTTTCATGTCTTCGTGTTTAATTTCTAACTAGCATTTTACCAACTGGGTCTTCCCGTTCTCAGGGAACTAATGTTCGAATCTGGCGGAAACTGACTGTGTCATTTGAAACAGCTAGCCGCCTTCTCACGGACATATTTGTTCCGGCTCGTTACAGTCTGACTGTTGCAGTTCTTCACTTGATTGACAGTTCCTATGACTTTGTTTTAATCCTGATCTCCGTTGATTGGCTACTGACTTTGTGGACGTGTCAAGTTATGTGCATAAATTAAATACGCCACAGTATGTATTCCTACACCTGGAATGTTTATCAAACTCGTCATTTTTGCCTGCTTTGATATAAACAACTGTTTTGGGTTAAACTATTACATATTTTCGTTGTCGAATTTAATTATAAGCATTGACTGACAGGTGTATTTTTTCGGTTCATTGATGTATGAATCGAAAAACCGATGTGCAAACTTTTGTAAGAATCCGCTACGTGGATTCATACAGTTAACATATCGGTTTTTCGATTCAAACGTCAATGTACCGAAAAAATACAGTCAATCCTTAAATAAAACACGGGAACAAATGGTTCAAGTCAAAATAGGGAATTGCATCGGACATATTTTTTTATCACTGATGCGTCAAATCTGGAAATGTCCTTCAGATGCCTACCAAAAACCTTTAGAAAGCTTCACTGAAAGGCATTGAATGTTGATCAAACAACTTTTGAGCTTGTGTCGTTTGACGTTCTTTGAAACCGTCAAAAGGCATGCTCGATTGTATCTCAAAATCTGTGAAAATGCAGACACCAAAGGTTAGAGCTTCTGGAATCAGTTGCCGACATAAAGGGGTGAGTACCTAAATGTCTTAACTCCAAATGTTACATAGATGTTATCATGGAGGAAGTCCAGCATTTCACATAGTGTTTATTCAGAAAACTTCAGATGGCATTTGCTTTTATGATTACGTTATCCTGAACCTCTTAAGAATGAGGTGTAACTATATCTTTGGTCACCACGTTTAATGACAAATGCCCAGTGGATCAAGGAATGAAGTTTTTCCCGAAGTTTGCTGGCTGAGATTGTGGTGTACAAATCAAATCAGGATTAAACATCTTTCTTTTCTGAGATTAGAGACCTTTCACGAAAACTCTTTGTGTTTTTGAGAATCCTCATGGTAGTATTGCCGTTCCTGTTTCAAAACGTTCCATGAATATAAAGAAAGTCCTTCCTTGATTGTATTAATGATCATAGTTCATAGTTGGGTTACTTGGTGGTAGATTTTTTAGACCCAGCAATATATCTCCCTTTACACGGATGTTTATGGAGGAATGGACATGTCTTTAGGTTTTGGAGGTTTCAGATTTCGTCCCCAGTTAACACCCTGGCCTTATTAGTGGCAGTTTCAAGCGATCTATGCAGTGATATACATATAATATGGGAACAACTCATAGCTTTTCATATAGGACAGACTTTGAAAACAGCTGGATGGGACAGAATGGGTTCATTCCAATTCTCTATCCTTTTTTCAGTTTTTGCATTCCACCAATGACAACATCACACACTGACTTCAACTCCGAAAAACATCCAACAGGTCCCTCTTTTCTTTTGGCCATCTGTTTGCATATACTTAGACAGCATCCATAATGTAATAAAGCTGAGGTCCCCGGAGGAAGGATGCTGCTCATGATAGTCTGGCCCGGTGAATGAGGTTGTTTCTGTCTCTTCCTCTTGGTCTGTTGGGTGTTCAGACCACGTTTAAACCTGCGAAAATTCCTTCATTTTTTGGTAACTAATAGAAACTATTTATCTCTGTGCTGTGAACACAAACCAAGTCACAATATCATCTTACATATCATACATTTCAGCTTTCTTTGCCTTGCAGTTTCAAAGAGACAAATAATCAGAAAATCTTTAAAGTTTTTCCATTTACGTTTGCCTATGTGATTCCTTTGTGTTGCAAGTATTTAGCCCTTGCAGTGTACCATATCATGTTTACACTGTTCCCATGTTGATTTGTTTCATATTTTATTTCATTTCAAACATATTGTGAGTTTGGTTTATTTCATCAAGTCCAAGTCTAAGATGCCAGGTTAATTAACTGGTAACGAGATGAATGAATATGCAAGCGATGATGGAAAACGTGCCATGTCATATTCTTCATTCCAGGTGAGCTAAAATCACTGAAACCCAAAACGTTCGCTTATTAAACTGAATCCTTGTCATTACCATAACCAGTAGCGACATTTGTATGATTTCAGATTGTGGGCAAAGCCCAAACATGATCAACAGGTACCCAACCCAAAAGGCTTCTGAACAGAATGTTCCGGATCGATCAACCGTAAGCACAATTTTTGACTGCACATTGATCCTAGGAACCCGGAACATAATGTGACGCGGGACTACACAATGAAAGAAGGGTACACTGGCTATATGTAGGTACATGTATTTGCTAAACCAGACAGGACAATGTGCTCTATTGGAGGGTACCTTTAGGCTATTTTACAAGGTGACACAGCGAACAGTACATTCTAAACTAGGCACCCGATACGCAACGTGGTGTTGTTACCCTGTATGTGAGCCTGTGTACCCCTCGTCTAACGGCTCGGGATACATAGACTCACACCCAGGGTACATCGCACCATATGTACCGAGGCATCGGTTGAAAACGAATTTATCTCACCGACATTCATTCAAAGAGACCCGGAATATATTCCAAAGTGTATAACTGAGTAAAACGCTTCGATTCTGCCATTTTGACAGCTCCAGACGACGCAACGAACCGAGTTACTTCCCTCTATTCAATGCTTTCGGATAAACATCGGTTCATTTCAGCTCAACGATATTTCGGAGATAAGCAAGTTACCTAAGATGTGTTCCGATTGCTCTCAGAGCAGGCGACATGGAAAACAATTCCCCGCTCCTTTACCAATCAGAAGCTAGTATTTTAATGGAAGGCGAGATAAGGTTTCATTCACCTGCTTCCTGATACACAATCTTACAAGGTGATACATCAACCAGACATTGTACATCAGGGGCCTGACATTCAATCTTCCATGGTAATAAATAACATAAGACAGTGCACACAAGGGGCCTGATACACAATCTTACAAGGCGATACATCAAACAGTGCCCTGAACATTTGACAGTCTTGTAAAGTTGTACATCAAAATATACCCTACTTCAGAATAGTTATGTGTTTCTGTATACGTGTGTATGCCAATCAGTTCTCTGTTTTGTCACATCTACACATAGGTCTCATTTTTTTCAGTTTCAGACTATGGCGTCACAACAGACGTTAAAGTACTGCCTGGCTTTGCTAATTGCCACGGTGTTGTGTGGAACCGTAATGCTGAACTACAATGAGTCCAGTTTTAAGCTGACTGGAGTATGGGCGGTGTTTCAGAGAGACAACGTATCGCACAACGAAGGAGGAAACACCAATAACAATGTGACAGTATCGACAATTGGCTACAAAATGACTTTTAATAGTTCAAATCGTACGTATCCATATTTCTATAAACCAATCTCATTTCATTCTTCGGAAAAGTACAGACAGAAGACGTCTTACAGCGTGAATTTCAACCATGGATACCATCCGGTAACAGGCACCAAGCCGAAGCTCATCCTGTTTTATAATCCTCCCGGATGGTTCAAAGTGTTTCAGAAATTTTGTCCACAAGGTTTACAAAAATGTCCACAGAAACACTGTGAATGTTCCTTTCATCCAAATCAAATGGACAAAGCAGATGTTGTCATCATCGACGCAGTTGATCTCCAGTACAGGACGCCTCCAGCTAAACCAACCAACCAAGTATGGATCTTATTCGGATTAGAGTGTCCAAACTATTACCCAAGTCAGTTATACCAATCAGAGCAATGGCGCCATGTGTTTAACTGGACCATGACGTATCGTCTTGACTCGGATGTCATCTTGCCTTACAATATCCTTTTAGATCAGCAGCAATCAACACCAAGAGGTAACTTTACTGAAATTGCTCAGAATAAAACAAAGTCAGTCCTGTGGTTTGTTAGTAACTGCAACACACCCTCCAAACGGCAACAATATGTGAAAGAACTAGGGAAGCATATAACAGTGGACATGTATGGAAGATGTGGTCCATTGAAATGTAGCGGACAGAATTGCGATGTTCTGTACAACAAATACAGGTTTTATTTATCCTTTGAAAATTCATTTTGCATTGACTACGTCACAGAGAAGTTGTATAAAACCTATTCTCACAACATTGTTCCTGTCGTTCGGGGAGGTGCTGATTATGATGCCATGATACCAAAAGGAACGTTCATTAATGCAGCGCACTTTTCAAGTCCAAAAGAACTGGCAAAATATCTTATATATCTGGAGAAAAACGTCACAGCCTATGCTAGGATACTGGAAAACAAATCCAGATATAGAAATGATAACGGTGAAACGTATGAATCTGCATTTTGTGACATTTGTGTGAAACTTCATAATTTGAATTCATATCATCAACAGTATAATGATAGTGGTAAATGGTTGAAACAAGACACCTGTCACCTACCTACGGATGTTTGACCAAACACATTTCATTATTCAAGATTCTTTCGCGTTTACATCTGAGAATAAAAGGACGATATCATCTCTATCGTTATGTCAGTACCAATTCCTTAACATGCACTGTACATTTACTGATAGCAAGTAGTTTATGTATTTAAAGAGGTTTGTTTATTTGTTTGTTGCATAACGCGGCACTCAGCAATATTCCAGCTATATGATGGCGGTCTGTAAATTATCGAGTATGGACCAGACAAGCCAGTGATTGACAACAAGAGCATCGATCTACATAACTGGGATAAGATGACATGCATCAACCAAGTCAGCGAGCCTAACCACCCGATCCCGTTAGTCGCCTCTTACGACATGTATAGTCGACTTTTATGGCAAACATGGGTAGCTGAAGACCTATTCTACCCCGGATCTTCACGGGCCACATGGATTCTGACCTCCCTATTGCGAGTGTCAAGATCTTCACGGGTCCAATGCTGATGTACATTGATAAGGTAAGCATGTGGTAAAGTATTATGCAGGAAGCTGCGAAGCAAACACACCTGAAGCCACCAGCGGTGGTAAATGGAGGATATTATATTCGTGTTCATGTCATACTATGTTTACAACACGAGTGTCTACATTGCAGTATTTCCCGAGCGAGGGCGAAGGAATTGACAGACTTTAGGCACAAGTGTCGTATGACATGAGTGAGTGAGTGAGTGTGATTTTACACCGCTTTTAGCAATATTCCAGCAATATCACGGCGGGGGACACCAGAAGTGGGCTTCAATCAATCACTGTACATCAACCCTATCTCTTGTATAAACTTGTCTTAGCATAACTACCTAATCAATCAGTGTACATCAACCTTATCTGTTAAATAACATCTATCTATTGTTATGTATATATTATGCTCATACCTAGTTTGTACATCATTTGCTTGATAACGGTGTTAGAATCTACACCGAAACGTCGCCCAATTGTAATAAAGAAGTGGCTCATCCATAACAATTTTGTCTTAGTTACCATTCCAACTTCTAAATGCCACTCAAAGAAGTTACATTGTACCCATGTCGGGAATCGAACCCGGGTCTTCGGCGTGACGAGCGAACGTTTTAACGACTAGGCTACCCGACCGCCACTCGTATGACATGAACTCGAATATAATGTTCTACTTATTACCAAGAAGATGTCTACCTACTGAGACGAATTATAGTGTTTACTTGCAAGTCGCAACAGCTGCGGAACCACAATTTGTCGACGTCAACAATCATCATTCCGACCTCACGTCACAATAGGATTCGAATGACGTCAACAATGCCGTCCGGATGACGGAAACTAGTATAGGTTGGCAATTTGTAATTTTCCTAAAAACAGCGTTAACTAGTGGAAAGTGGATATTGGGAATAAGACTGCCCAGGAACAGGTACCAAAAAACACCTCACCCGAACGCGCCACCTTTGACGGCGCTCGTGCGGGGACAAAAACTGGTGAAACAGGTTTCCCGCCTATGGCATAAACTGCACGTGCATGTTAGCTGTATAAATGCGTTCGTCTGCAGGGTATAACCACACGTGATGAAAGCACACACAAGAAATGCCACGACTGTCACAGGAGCAGAGAGAGAGAGCCATCGGTATAACCGAAATGGGGACAACACAGGTCCAAATTACCAGAAGGTTTGGTTGTACACCATTGACAGTAGCCAGGCTGATTCAACGGTAAAGGCAAACAGGGAGGTCACAGGACAGGCCTAGAACCGGACGACCCCGAGTGACAACACCACTGGAAGACAGTAAGGCACGGTTCATTCACCTGCGAAACAGATTCGTAACGGCGACGGCAGCAACAGCGTTGGGACATCCCATTAGCCAACGTACAGTACTACGACGACTTCGTGCTGCTGGAATCCGAGCGTATCGTCCTTTCCGAGGAATGATACTAACTGCTCAACAACGACGCCTGAGACTGCGATGGGCGAAGCGTTGGGCGTCGAGTGCTGTTTACTGATGAAAGTCGGTTTAACTTGTTTCGAAATGACGGCAGAGAACGAGTTTATCGACGCAGAGGGGAACGTTTGGCTCCGGCGTGTATTCGAGAGGTCCATCCATTCGGCGGGGGAGGTGTCATGGTGTTGGGCGGTATTTGTTGAGATCAGAAGACTGATCATGATTTGGTGATTATACAGGGAAACCTGAACGCTGTGCAGCCAGTTGTGCTTCCGTTCTTACAAAACCAACAGCAGGGGACATTGTTTCAACACGACAATGCCAGGCCCCACACTGGAAGACTTACTTGGAACTTTCTAAACCAGCAGAACGTTGACGTTTTGCCCTGGCCTGCCCACGCATCCGAAATGAATCCTATTGAACATCCGTGGGACCATCTTGACAGACAGATTAGAGCACGCCATCAGCCTCCAGTCAATAGACAAGAATTGCAGCAGGCCCTGAGAGACGAGTGTCAACGGATTCCAGTCCACGTCATCAGAAGGCTGACGCCATCGATGAGGCGGCGTATCACAGCATGCATTGAGGCAGCTGGAGGTCATATACACGCCATTGAAGGCAACTGTGTCGACAATGAACTTGTAATGTGTCTGACAATTTTTTGACATTGCAGACAGCTTTTGAAAATGAAATTTCTTACCCCACCATTGTTTACCTTGAGCTTACATTACCTGTGATTGCACAATTTCATTCAAACTGTGGTTGATCAATCAATTGTTACCCCTCCCTAGATTATATTATAATTCACAACAAAACCTCTTCTTGTTTTTTTTTTATCGATCATGGAACTCGACCTATACTTTCTTTTGCCGCCCAGTTTACATACTGTTGATATGATTCTATGATTTTTATGAACCCCGATGTTTACCGTCGAAGGTAATAAAAATGTATATTCCCATTACTATACTCAGCAACAAAAGTTCCTGTGACACTAATATTTTAGTGTATTTTTGTAAAGTAAAGTTTGGTTTTCAATATTGTAGTACATGTATGAATCAAGTCACAAAAACTCAACTGCTACAGAAAAGCATGCATTCTATGCCAAAGTTGACTTTTATGCAAGCCCGATGCATTTCACTACCCAAGAATGGGTATAAAAACATGTGCGTTAACGGGATTCCATGTTCATTGTTTAGCATCGTGCTGACAACAACCACTCAGAAAAACAACACAATTACGCAATTATTCAACATTACGAAATGCCACGCCTGTCCGAAAATGAGCTTCTGCGAGCCATTGGTATGCTTGAAGCAGGATCGATGCAAGACAATGTTGCAAGACAATTTAACGTCCACAGAAGCACCAATTGGTGTTTATGGCAACATTGGCAACAGACGAATGCAGTCACAGACCATCCTCGGAGTGGCAGGCCACGCGTAACCAATAATTGACAAGACAACTGGATTCGAACAACACACCTACGAAATCGATTCCAGCCAGCACAGCAGTGACTGCAAGAAGCATCCCTGGCCTTCGACGAATATCTTCACATACCGTACGTCGTCGCCTCAGATGTGTAGGGATTGTCGCCAAAAGAACCGCCAGACGTCCCATTTTGACAAGAAACCACCGTCAAGCACGTCTACAGTGGTGCAGACAGCGTCTACGCTGGACGGCCATGCAGTTGGGACAAGTTCTATTCACTGACGAGTCTCGTTTTCACCTCAGCCACAGCGATGGACGGATTCGAGTGTACCGTCGTCGAGGTGAACGTTACGTCAATCATTGTGTCATGGAAGAAGATCGATTCGGGAGCGGTAGCGTTATCGTATGGAGTTTGATTACAGCAAGACAGAGGAGCCGTTTGATAGTGGTAGAGGGAAATCTCAATTGACAGCGCTACCGCGACGAGATCATCGGAACCTGTTGTTCTACCGTTTTTGCGTCATGGATATGGACAGATATCCCACAGGACTTTGGGCGACGCCTGGTCCATTCCATGAAACGAAGATGTGTTGCTTGCATCGCAACCAGAGGTAAACACACACGCTATTGATTTGTAAACTGACATTTTGGCATGTTCATGTTTTATGAGATCACGCATTTTCTGAAGTCAGTATGGCAAATTCAACCATTTGAACACTTACAGGAGTCTTTCATCTTTTATCAGTATATATTATATATATTATATAAAAGTTTCAGGTAGTTGATGATTAAGAATACTTCTTTTCTCACTGAGCTGCCAAACATGTTTGTGCCTTTCTCCCAAGCAACTTACGTTAAAAAACAACAAAATAAAAACAATACCAAGATATCTTCCATATTTTCTTCTTTTGGGAACCATTTTTCATTAGTGGAGTGTGCCTCCAAATCGAAAGAGTAGTTTTGTATTGTTGAAATTAACTTTCATTCGATTTTCTGAACAAACACTTCCAAAACATTTTTTTTCATTTGAAGCAGTGTCAGAGTGAGATTAGACATCACCAGTCAAACAAATGTATCTGCACCGATCTTTAACAGTGTCACACCCGGAGCAGTTAACCTGTTACAAGACTCACATACAGTGTAGACCCGTGAAGATCCGGGGTAGAATAGGTCTTCAGCAACCCATGCTTGCTGTAAAAGGCGACTATGCTTGTCGTAAGAGGCGACTAACGGGATCGGATGGTCAGGCTCGCTGACTTGGTTGATGCATGTCATCGATCCCAATTGTGTGGATCGATGCTCATGACATTAATCACTGGATGGCAGGACCAGACTCTATTATTTACAGACCGCCGTCATATAGCTGGGATATTGTTGAGTGCGACGTTAAACAACAAAACAACCAACCAACCAACCAACATACAGTTTAAGTTAAAATTCCTGATGTGTGCCATCAGCAAGACTCCATACTGCAACCCCCTCATTAATCAGCTCTTGCAACAAGCAATGATCATTGGGAAGCTGCCCCGGATTCAAACAGGATTTGTCAGCATTGGACTATTTGTCTTCTTATTCCTGTATATTTAGAGATTTGAACTGATCTCTCACCAATGTTATGCTATAGTAATCTGGTGCGGTCGGCACTGTGACCCAATAGTAAATGTTATCATAAGTCATTCGTTTAGTGACCTGTTAGACAGGAATATGTTTTATTTTATTCTAACTTAAACATACAAATACACACATGATAAATAAATTATTATATGACATACAGTTTCGAGTCAACCTCACACGAAAAAGGCATAAAAAACAAATTTTACAAAGTGGTTGAAATGAACTTATAATAAACTGCCGGGCAAAGGAAGGATACACTTGGATTTGACCACAAAATTACAAAAGTTATCAATACGT